ATTACGGAGAAAATATTAAATGACTTTGGAGCGAAAACATGTAGGTACACTCCTACCCCATCAGCGGCAGAGGAAAACCTTCAGTTAACGAATATAAATTACATAACACCAAATGATACGTATCGATGTACGCGCTGATGCAGTTTAACATGGCCTCAGGAACAAGTACTAAGCTCCAACGAAATTTCTGGAATCATCGAATTGCTTGAAGGCGGTTTGCAGCAATGCTTGGGCGGTTAATGATTTATTATGTGAGTTTGCTCGAAAAACAACAGACGCGGGAAAAGTCATTTTAGTAGTTTAGGTGAGGAAGAGCTTAATAAGTCAACCGGTTCAGTTCCCAGAGAGTGACTTACGTGAAATACATGAACCAACGTCATCACAGAGTACAATTTGACATATTCGATTCATCAATGTGGAACAGCTTCTGATGGACGACATCCAATTCGTCGCAGAAACTCTCTGCCTGATGTCTGAGCTCAGTTTTAGGAAGTCACAGGGAAAACTCCAGTTGCTACAAGCAAACAGTGATTATTGCCATCTTCAGGGCGAGACTTGGCATTAGGACGTGTTTCGGTCGAACCACTGTGTCGTACAGAATCCACAGTTCGTACTTGGAGTGATTCAATCAAGATGTGGTCTAGAAATTATATCATGTGATCGGCGACGAGCAGACCGCCAGTTGGCGATTTCGCTGTTTTCCACTGAACTTTTGGGACATCTGCGTATAGAGTACTTTTGCCTTGCCAATTTGGTCTCGAAACAGTTCAATGCTCACGCCAAGACATTAGCTATATCTGATATCTTATTGCTCGGATTTGCCTCAACTGCGGTTATGAGACGCTTTCAGACATTACGGTCGCTGAAACAAGACGAATCTACCTTAGCCCAATTTTCAGTACGACCGTACGAGATACGTGCATAACGACAAAGTGGTGTTAGCCCGTGCAGGAGATGTTTTTCCCAGTGACAGGCACATCTGTTAATACCCGCTTTGTCTCCGTCAGCATTTGGTCGGTTTGGTAAAG